ACGCCGCGTGCTGCTGTGCACCGCAGAAATTATGGGCGGTGCGCAGCGGCGGCGGGCGGCTGGCGGGCGGTGAGCGTCGCGGCGAAGAGGCACATGCCACCGGCAGGGCGCGTTGCCCCTTCTAGCCCAATTGGCGATCCACGGCATGCACTCGTTCCTGTCGAACTTGCAGGCGCAGCTGCCGCGCTGCAGGTGCACTGTACTGCATGTTGTACTGCATGCAGTACTGCCGTACCTCATCGGGGTTCATCGACCTGTTGGGCTCATTCTTGAAGATGTCCCGCACCATCTCGTGCACCTGGGGTGCAGCGAACCGGGGGCAGGGTAGCGTCACGCCGACAGAAGCCGCCCAGCTAGGCAGAAAGCTAGCCAGGCAAGGCAGCAGGCAGGCAGGCAGGCAGGCAGGCAGGCAGGCAGGCAGGCAGAGTGTGCATGAGCAGCCCAATTGGGCCGCCAACACAGATCCAGATGCCCGGCCAACCACTCGGGCATCAACCCCATCTGAAAATCTAGCTCACCTAGGACATGCCCCCCACCATGAGCACCTCCTGGATGTCGGCGGGCTGCACCCCCGCAGTCCTTCATGCAGCTCAGGCACGGCTGCACCGTGCGGTCCAGCAGCGACTCGACCAGCTGCTCAAACTTGGAGCTGCGGCAACAGAGGGAGGCGGGAGAGGGAGGGCGGGTCACCGCAGTTCGCGGGTTTGGGCATTTGAAAGGGGCTGGCGGATGGGCGGGAGGCTAGATGCAGCAGGCAGCGGGCAGCTGGCCGCAGGCGCAGAGTCGTGCGTGCTACATCGGTGATGAGGCGGGGAGCCCTGTATGCCGCCGTCGAGCACTGCTGCATCCGCCCCAGCGCATCGCAGACCGCAGCTCAGCGGAAGCCACCCCAACAGGAACTAACACCCATCGGGCGATGTTCATCTGCAGGTGCTTGGCGCCCGAGGCATCGGCGGTGATGAAGGGCAGGTTGCCATCGGTCTGCCTCATGCTGCGGTGGCTCGGTGCACCAGACAGGGCAGACAAAGGGCAGTGTGGAGCAAAGCAATGTGCCGTGAAGCTCTGGATCCCTGCCCGCGCTGGTGCAGACCACCCAGCCTGGCTGGCACAGGGCTGGAACGGCACAGCACAGAAGGCACAGGCCAGGCAGCGAGCCACCCAAGCTGCCCCCCACCTGGACAGCTCGCACTTGGCCTTCTCCGCCGCCTCGCGCAGCCGCTGCACCGCCAGTTTGTCCTTGGTGAGGTCGATGCCCTGTGGGGGTGGAGGCAGAGGTGGAAGGGTGAGTGGGGAGGGGCTGGGGAGGGAGGCCGGAGCGCCCCCGG